GGGGTTGTCTCTTTAGATAAGTCTTTGATTTTGCACATTCGATTGTCCTTTTGTTTGCTCCAGATAGTCCACATATAACGGTGAGGAGTAACTCCTAGATTCCTTACCTGTGTATCTTGTTAACTGATGACCTTCAGTTAGCAGAAATATTAATTTCAGACAGCATAACTATAAGCCAACAGATTAAAGTTACATTGCTTCAGTATCAAGTTGACATATGTTTTCGTGAATTAGCTATCTAACACATTTTAGAGAGGCCCAACTAAGACTTATTTAACTAACTAATGTTTCAAAAATATATAAGAAATTAGCATCATAAACAAATTTTAACTTTTAATTAACATCATACACCTGGAGAATGTGCATACTGGTAGACGGGAGCCAGGAGAAAGAAATATGCCAAAATTTTCTAAAAACTCTGTGTACCATTAGGGGCATTATGTAGCGTGCCAAACCTCGAACCTGTTTACAACTAATATTTGACAAAGACACCCACCTATCTGTATTTTTATACACCAGACTACAGAATGTTAGTCAGAAAAAGAAGCGAAAGAAGCACCTAAAGGATTTGCCACCATTCACCAATTATGTGGTGGATGAGAATGGTAACTCAGTTGTTTCCGTGCAGGAAAGAATGAAGAACACGGATCTTCATTTGCCTAGAAGCCAACATCCAGCAGTCATCCTAGTACAGGAATACTATGGAGGAATTACTGGTAAGAGATTGCTCGCTCGGTCAAAGTTCCCGCAACAAATAAATGCATAAATGGTTGAATCAAAACTATTTAAAAAAATGAATCACTTGCGCCTAAAGCATATCGCCTGAAGGTTTTGTGTTTTGCAAAACTGCCACAAAATACTTGTTTGCAACAGTTGTGGCAGACGAGCAAAATCTCATTTTTACACTTCTGCCCTACACAACTAACGCAGCCTTTTCTTTCGTGACGGTGGCTATCAAAAGATCCATTACAATGAAAAAGAGAGAAAAGGGGAAAAGGAGTCTTTCGGATGGAAGTTCTCAGGCTGAATACTGAGCAAATCTACTCATTTTTCCTTCATTCATCTGAAATACTGCAAGCACGGAGAAAGATGAAGGTTGCAATATGTTTAAGGTCACCATGCAACAAGTCAAATCAAGATGAATCTTAACAATATTGGATGTACTGGAGCATGATCAGAATGAGACTAACCCAAATACAGCTCAAAATAATACAGAGGATTGATATAGCCGGCATAATCGTTTTTGCGTCTTAATGAACCCAAAAGCAATATCTTGCGCAATATTATGCATAATAAATATTTTCCAAAAACATATTGTGCATAGGAACATAGGAAAAGTCATTGTTATTGAAATTTAACTGAGTAAAGATTGCAGGTAATAAGGAACTTTAGGTAAAAATGCCCAAACTAAAGGCCATTCAATAAATCCACTAAAGAATCATAATAGGGCAAACAAACAATATTGTCATCCTACATACAACATCCAGGAATTCTAAAGAAAACAAATTTTCAATCTTTGCTTATTCCTACAATTCTTCTAATGGCCCATATGTATGGGCCAAACTCCTGCGCGTGCCTTCAACAAAGAAGTGCACTACTAGTGCCAATTTACCTAACCAAAAGACATAATTCTCTCCTAATTTGTTAGAGCAATTTTTCCTTCCAACGGCATCCCTATTAGCACCTCGAACCCTAAACGGCAAAGCTTGTTATCCTCAAGAATTCAGAACAAATAACACAAAATCGCTACCCTATTATCATCATCAATTAGACATCATATTACCAAGGATGTTGAACTAAGAAAACTGATTCATAAACTTCACCCCCAAAAAACAACTCAAGGGTACATCAAAACTCGAAAAAGGGGCTGGAGGATACCAAAATTAGTTTTGCACAAGCAATCGAGCATTGTGCCTTCTACCTAGACCACCTTGCCCAGTGATAGCTGAACCCATCTTATGGGTTTTAGAAAATGTGTTTACAAAATTCCAGGGCGAGATACCAAAAGATTCTAGGGGTGGACACTACCACATCAATGAGATACTCTTATTCAAGAACATGTCCACATGTCAACTGTCAATGGTAATGAAAAGAAGAAAAGGTGTTCTCTCGCTTTTCTTTTTGCAACCCGAATAGGGATCCCTCATCGATACTAGCCTTTCCAACCCCTGATGCTTTGAAGTTTCATGTAATACCCTAATTGTTCATCTTTCCAAAGTTGGAAGGTTGGATAAATATCCTCTGTTCCATAGCATCTCCGGAAATACTTTCAATCCCCTTGCATTTCCCCCATCTTTCACCTATGAATCCTACAGCTAATCCCCTTCACCTGGGCGTAGCACCAGTCATGTACTGTTTGGTTTGCCGATGGACTTAACCTACCTAACTCTAATTTATTTATTTTGGGCTTTTTAGATTGACACCAGTCAGTCCAAAATTAGCTTGTGTCAGTGTCTCATAGAACACCCCAATGCACGGGCAATACAGGATAGCACAAGCAAACGAATAAGAACCTTGTATCAAACTCCAAACAAAAACCACAAACTATCAACAAAAAAATATATACATATATATGATAAAAAACATCAGCTGATTACTCAGTCAACATAAGTGTGAGAGACTAAAACCAAAATAAGCATTCTTAGAAGTTTAACTCATATACAAAAGAAAATGCAGAAGCAATATGCTTACCCCTCCTTGAAGTACCATAATCATCAACATTGATTTCTTGGATAGCTGGTGGAGTCCACTGTTGTGCAGGAGAGATGTCCGACGGACTACTATAGTATGCACCAACACCACCATCTGATACGAGATATTGGTGATTGGCCAATTGGTTTCCCCTCACCCAACCTCTACTCTCTCTGCTGTTTGACGAAGCAGAAGATCCATACAATTGAACCCCATCATTAGACCCAAAAGATAATGCTTCAGGTTGGAAACGGAAATCCCATCTGGATGGTGCTGGCGAGAAGCTTGAATTAGTCCGCCAGTAGGGCTCATGTGGGCCCATAGACCATTCTCCGCTAGCTGCAGTGGACCCATGTGGCCTTGCAGCCACACAACAAAGGGACCCCGTCTTAGCTATGTTTCACAAGACTCACAAGGTATTATATTGGTGCTTGCTTCTGTCAATTCTCAACTTTCAAAGTAAAAGGGCAGCTACAGTAACTACTCCATTCAGCCCCACAACAAAGGGACCCCCACATTTGTCAATTCTCAATTTTCAAAGTAAAAGGGGTAATTCAAGTAACTACTCCATTTTTTCTGTATCTAACACCAAGAGAGTGAGCTTTTTCCCTCGCTGCTTAGGACTACTTCACATGTCCTTATGAAATGCACCGGTAAGTGCAAAAACCAATTATATACAACAATTCCGCTAAAACAAGCACAAGCATGGCATGATTACGTCTGCAGAAAACTCAGACGATGCTTAACTATCGGGAAGCAAGAAATACCATGCACGGAGTGTTGATAACAGTATTATTCTTCGCTACTTGACAATCACCAATCTACATTCATGAGAAGGAAAACGTCAGGACGAAATATAGAAGGTTACCAACAGGAGTCATGCTTAGAAGGCTTGACTTAGAAAAAGGGAAAACATTAAGTGCAACTAACTTAGCAAAATAAATTTAAATAACACCAAGGTGCATAACATGAAGGTAATATAGGCATAAAAAACTCTTCTTTAAGGTGATGCAGAAAGCCGATGAAGCTTTGGCCCAATTGACAAGGCTGAGGAGCTAATTCGGTTCAATACTTCAATCACAGCAGGAGGAAGGTAATCATATTTGTTATATTCTTCCAAAAATGTGAATAACTTCGTAATTAATATCCCCAAAATTAAGATACATTGTATTTAGCATGACTATTCATAACTTTTTATCTCTCTTACCATAGTGGGTTGTACTCTCACTTCAATCAATAAATAACTACGCCTCAATCACAAATCAGTCGAGCTTCGCGAAATCCATCATCCATCACTTCACTCAAAAACAAATTGGAAACCGAGATTCGAGAAGGCAAATACTAGTTCGTATGAATGCTGAAGTGTCTGAAGTGATACAAATTATCATAATGCATTTGAAATTTCCTTTCTTTTTTCATTTTTGTTTCTCAGGTAACATTAAACAGTAAACAACTTCATATAAAGAACACAATAATTACAAGTCAACCACAAATATATACAAAGCCATCAAAACTAAGAGTTAAACGAAAAGGAAATACCAAAACTACTGCAAACAAGAATAATGACCTTATCAAAACATATTTATTACTACCAATTATTAGAGACCCAATACAAATTTAAAACCCCACATAGTAATAACAAAACCCCAACTCCAAAAACACTTCAAAAACTGATCTGAAACCTCAAAAACCAATAAAAAGCAAAAAAGACACAATCTTTACCTAAAATGAAATTCCCAAAACCCTACTATCAAGATTATAAAAGTGTATGTATGGAAGTGAAAAATTGGATATAAAAATATAGTAGCTAAAAGGTTATTGAGTGAAACTTACAATTATTTGAATTATTGGGGTTTTGATGATTGGAATTTTTGCAGACTGAAAGTGGAATTTTGAAGGAATAAAAATGTCTGCGTGCAAATGTGAATAAAAACCCTAACTTCTCGCTGATACTGCTATTGTTTTATTATTTTATTTATGTGTATCTTTTTGCTCTCATGACCTTCATTTTTGTTGCTTTATCCATGTTGGTCCCTTTTATGTTTTGATTTGCGTTTACGCCCTTATCACTGTTACTAACTATCACTATTTATACTGCCGCTTGTGGGTTCTATATTTCTCTGACTAGAATTGAGAAATATTTTATAATTTTATAAAACTGCTATTATTTTATAATTTTATTTATCGAACATTCTTTATCTTATTTTCTTTTTTTTAGCACCTTTGTAAGTTCTCAATCAATTAATTGTCTCAATCTCATATCATTTGTTGCTGGTAAAATATGTTGAGAAACCGCTTGGTGTGATCAAAGTAGAAGTAAGACATCCCTATTTCCCTCAATAATTAGCTATATATTAATAATGTGTGTAGTGAATCTAAGTGTGAAAATGTCTAGCTTTTCACGCGGCACGATGCCGAGAGCTAGGGGTGTTCGCCAAAAAACGAACCAAATCGAGAAAAAAAATTGATATCTTTTTGGTTTAACTTGGTTTGGTTTTTAATTTTAAAAAACTGATAAAATTTGGTTTGATTTTGGTTTTATACAAAAAAAAATGAANGCCAGTTAAGACAAAAGGTCTTTAATTCCTTAGGGTTTATTTGATTCTCTTTCACCCCTTCACAACAAAACATACGCAGCTTCCATGCCAAACAAAATTCTCTCCTCCTTCCCTCTAAAATTCTTGATAGCGACCGATGGCAACCACAACTGTGAGAAATGAACAGGTTTTTGCCTTTCTTTTTGGTCTTAACCCCAACTAGTTATCTTTTTTTTAATGGATAATTTGAAAATAATTTACATGAAATTGTAAAGTATTTTTGTATCTCTTATGTAGTTCTTTTTGTTCTTGACCATTGTTTGCCTGTTTCGTCTCTCTTAGCAGATGGATTCATAAGCCGAGGTTCAGAAAATTTCTCAACTTGAAGGCAACAATACTCCAGTTATTGATTCAAGTGTTCCTACTCCTCCTAAAAAATATAAAAGAGCAGCACCTTCTGAAAATGATTCTGGTCTTGGGAGGGAAACATCAGACATTTGGAAATATTTTTCCAAATTTTTTGATAAAGATGGTAAGCATAAGTCAAAATGTAGTTTCTGTACTAAAACTTTTGCTTCCGATACTAAGAAAAATGGGACTACTACATTATAGAACCATTTGAATATTGTTTGTAAGAAATTCCCTTTTAGATTCATTGACAGAACGCAGACAACACTCAGGTCTTACCCAAATAAAGGAAGCGGACAAGAAGGTAGTGTTGGTACTTATAAACTGAAAAGAGTTGTGTATAATGTCAATGATATAAGAAGGGTTATTGCTGAATTTGTGATCATTGATGAACAACCATTTAAAGTCGTCGATGGTGGAGGTTTTAAAAGATTAATGTCAATTGTTGTGCCTAATTTTGAGCTGCCCTCTCGTTTGACTATTGCTAGGCAATATTTAAAAAATTATCATGAGGAAAAAGAAAAGTTGCATATTCAAAATCAACATGTATGTCTCACTAGTGATACGTGGACATCGCTCCAAAACCTAACTTACATGGTTATAACTGCCCACTGAATTTATGATAATTAGAACTTGCAAAAAAAATTCTGAACTTTTTTCAAGTTCCAGATCATAAGGGTGAAACAATTGCAAATGGTATTGAGGTTTGTTTATTAGATTGAGGAATTGAAAATCTATTTACTGTGACCCTAGATAATGTAACTGCTAATGATGCAGCAATTAGACACTTGAAAGGGAGGATTGAGGATTGGAAAGAATCGTCTTGGGAAATGACTTTCTACATGTTAGATGTAATGCTCGCATTTTGAATTTAATTGTAAACTAAGGATTAAGTGATCATATTGAGTCTATTTCTCGGGTCAAAAATGATGTGAAGTATGTTAAGTCCTCTTCTGTAAGATTAGCTTCCTTTAAATCAACTGTTGAAAAGGTAAAGATTGATAGCCATGGTCTTTTGAGTTTAGATGTTGAAACCAGGTGGAACTCAACTTATATGATGTTAAGTACAACTATAAAATTTGAGAAGGCCTTTTCAAGAATGTATATTGATGATCACAAGTACCAAAAGTATTGTCTATATATGATTGGAAAAGCAGTGCACCCAAGTGGGAATGATTGGAATGAGGTAAAAGTTTTTACAAAGTTTTTTGACATTTTCTACCATATTACTTTGAAATTTTCAGGAACTTTGTATGTTACTTCAAATTCTTTCTTCCATGAGCTTTTTTATCTTCTTAACTTTATTGCCAAAAATTCTCAAGGTGATGATCAAGTTCTGATTGATATAGTTGTTAAGATGAAACTCAAGTTTGATAAGTATTGGGGTGACTTTGATAATATGAATATATTATTATTTATCGTTGTTGTGTTGGATCCTCGGTATAAGATGAGGTATGTAAAGTTCATTTTTGCTAAATCTTATGGTTCTATGGCGGGAGATTTGAGATCAGACAAAGTGATAGATACTCAATCTCGCTTGTATAATTGCTATAAAGATTCTCCTGCTGAAAATTCTGATGAGATTTTGGGAGGTCAAGTTAGTACGATGAGTGAAGGTGATACTGGAGAGATATGAAAATCACAATGGAAAAAATATTTGTTAGTGTAAGATAATGAAGGAAGTAAGACTGATCTTGAGAGGTATTTGATAGATAATTTGGAGTTGGCCAAAGATTTTAATATCTTGTCTTGGTAGAAAGATGCAAGTAAAAGGTATCCAATTGTTTCTAGGATTGCAAGTGATGTTCTTGCAATTCATGTTTCTACTGTTGCATCTGAATCGGCTTTTAGTACTAGTGGGAGGATTCTTGATTCATATCGAAGTTCTTTATAGCTAAAGACGGTAGAAGCTCTAATTTGCACTCAACAATGGCTCAGGTTAACTCCCAAAGAATGCAACATTGAAGATATTGTAGAAGAAATCCCAAAACTTGAAATAGTTGAAAAAGGTAATTTTATACATTTAACTCATTATGAATATATTTATATTTGTGAATTACTTAATACTTAATATTTTTATTTTTTTTATCTTTCAGAATATCCCGATAATGTTTTGAGCATCGATTAGATCGGATAATGAAACTGGCTTCAATCATATTCTTGTTGCTTGAAATTTGGATGTATTTTTTGATGTGGATACTTTACTTTACCATATGAAAAACTATTTTACAGTATCCTATTATAATTTTATTATTGTAATATAAACTTTGTGACTTTGCAATCTTCTGTTAACTTTATAAAGTTGGGGTGATAGAATAGCATTAATGTGTGTCTCTGGTGATTAGCATCATCTTCAACTACAAGTTTGCATTTCTTTTTTCATGAGGGATTGTAGATATGTATTTATTTGTGTAATGAAGTTTTAAGTGCACAGGTCTGAGTAGTGAGTGATATAGAAATTGGATATGCTTGTCTAATTTTTCTATGTGGCCAGAAAGGTCATATAACTTCTCTCTTTTAGCTGCACTCTTTGGCTAGAGTTCTAAAGGAGCTAGAAATTTGTTATGTGCTTTTTGTGAAAAGTTGGGACACCTTGTTTCTTTGTCCAGTCATTTCTTTATTGAGTTTCTCATTACTAGTCATTCAACCGAAAGCAAACCCCTTTTCAAAAGGAATCATAAAGTCCACAACTCATGTATTCTTAAAAAACCTGACAAAAATCGAAAAAATCGAAAAATCAAAAAAACCCGACAAAAACCGAAATTTATAAATTTCTATTAATTTGGTTTGGTTTGGTTCAACAATTTGAATAACCGACGTATTTGGTTTGTTTTTTTTAAGGTAAAAACCGACCCAAACCTAATCATGAACACCCCTACCGAGAGCTTAGATATTTATTATGATGAAGATATCATTAATCCAAAAAGGCCTTTTGGCCGCATTGAGGAAATCAGTCAATGAACCTAGTTGCTTGACACCTAGGTATGTACTTCATTTACAATAGATAGTTGTAATGAAATGTTAAATTTCTACGTCATGAAAAACAGATTTCGAGTCACTTAATCATATCCCATAATCATGGCTTCCTTCATGCGTAGTTAAATAGATCAGGTTCCTAAAACTATTATAGGCACGTCTTTATCGCCCAATTAGAGCTAATTAAAACTACCTCATTTAAATTTTGAACATTGGGCCCTTAATTGATTAGGCTCAAACTGTCACTTATTTAACTTTCTACTCTCAATTACCTCCCATAATCTCTTACCTCTCTATGAAATTCTTCGAATCATAAGCAAAAGCAAACAACTCCAAACCCCATTTCTCTATAATAAACCTGAAAATCTTAACAATGTCGACCTCACAAAATTTTCCCACATCTAGTTTCTTGAAGCCTGAAATCACTCCAGCTGCCAACACCCATTTTGCCTCACCAACTCAGTTCGAGCCATACCAAACCCCATCCAAGAAACACATAAGTTATTACCGGACTAGTCGTTGACTTCAACGGGGAATAAAGTGAAAAATAAGAACATACAAGTCCAGCAGTAGAAAAATTTGAGATTCATGGGAGAGAAGCAGTGAAAGATAAGAATGAGAATGAGAAAAAAGTAAAAAATTGAGTGTTGATATTAGAGTTGCCACTGCTCATATGTAGGACACTGGATGCCCTAGTAAAAAACTAGAGGGAAAGGATGTTAGTATTGGCGTAGAAGAAGTCTTTGGCCAACAACCATTTTCTTCTGTTGCTGGTGAGGGCGTATAGGTTGGAGAAGAAAATTCATAAAAAGTTCTTATAAAGGAGACTATAGGAGATAATTTTGGAAAATGTGCTAAAGAGGTCCATGGACATGGTACCTTGGCCTCTAACAATGAACAATCTCCATATTTGAGGATATAATTTTCTGATATTAAGGGAGAACTTGAAGTGGACAAGGAAGGGAGTGATAGTGATGATGTAGTTTTAGCTTATATATTTACTCAATTGAAGAAGAAAAGTATAGGTGAAAGGAAGAAACCATATAGGAGTGTTAAACACACAGCCAACAAGACAGTTAATATGGAAAGTCTGTGACTCACAAGGCTAGGATCCAAACACCAAGGGGATCCCAAGTCTCTTGAGAAAGCTTTAGAGGAGAATAAATAAAAGAGAAAGAAATGACACGAGTTTTAGTAGAGGAATGAGTCTGAGGTGGAATAAGTTAACTTGGTCAGTGAGGAAGGAGAGGAAGACGAGGAGGTTCCTCTTTAAAAAAGGGAAAAAAAGTTAGATTATCTTCAGCCACACCAAAAAAGAAGAGGACCGCCAAAAAGGGAAAATTTGTGTAGGTCAAAGGAACCAATTCCAAACATTTTAAGAAAACTAAATATTATTGTTGTAGGCAAAGTATTCTGGTTCAGTAATATGGTGATATCGAATGGTAGAGTGATAAACCTTGCTACTTCAGAGATGTTTAGAATAGAAGAACTATTAGAGAAACTTAAGAACCAAAAGTGGACAAACTTGTTTCTGTGCCCACTCTATGTGATGTATGGTATTGTAATGTTGCACTTCTATAAGAATTTCAAATTGCTTGAGGAAGGTACAGTGAGCACTGAGGTGAGGGGAATAGACTTGGTTCTTACTGCTTAGCTCCTAGAAAAAATCTTGAAGGTGCTTGTGAATGGGTTTGATACATATGTTCGATGAGAATGGCTCAAATCAGGGGAGGTAGAGTATGATATGTATTTGACCTTGAAGTATATACATGGAAAGGGAAAGGCGAAACCAATGAAGGCAAGTAAAAATAAAATAAAATCGATTCACAAGCTCATGTTCAAATTTGTGAATAAGTGTGTTATCTCGCTCTAAAATGAGGCATGAGGCTACTTACCTAGATCTAACAATTATGAAAGCTATGGACCAAAATAATTTGCTTAACTTTCCCTCAATAGTTATGAAATATATGACAGTTGACTATGGTGTTTTAATAGGCAGATATGCTTTGCCATATAGATTCTTGTTGACTATGGTGTTTTAATGTTTTAAGGTCCATTTGCAAGGACCAGTAAAGGGGGCAAAAGAGCACATGCTTGATGAATAGACCTTGAGGGAATATGACTACATTAAGAGGCCACCGAGTATAGAAGGTAAAAGCATAGTCACACATTTATTGAAGGAATTGACTGCTACCAAAGAAGGGATGGAGAAACTGCATGTTGAAGGCACTTCCTTGAAGGAGAAAAATAGCTGAAAGAAAAGATGAAAAAGAGCAGGTTGTTGTTGCTGCACATTTTGATAGGCTCTTGGGGCTCACTCGTGGAGAGTCTTCTTCCAGCAAAGAACCTGGTGCTTCGTCCTCTTACGCGTCCTTGTCTAGTCCATAATTTGTCCCTATTATGATCAAATTGTGGATTGTTACCTTTTTATTTTTGATTGTGTGGCAGTTTGATTGGTTTGTTCAACCATCATTGGCTTAAGTCATTTGGCTTAACGTGGTACAACTTATCAATCAATATAAATTCCTATTTTTGGGCCATATTTATCTATTCAAAGTTCAAAATTTTTAATTGGATCAAACGTTTGAGATTTTAATATTATGTATGTGTTACCATGAGTTTGATATTGCTTAATTCTCACTTTTAAGAGCGCTTTATTTTTTTGATGATGCCAAAAGGGGGATAATATTGAAATTTTGTCTTTTTGAAAGAATTAAAATATTTTATGCCTAGTCATCTATAAAGTTGCATTGAATGGAAATTCAGTTCCTTATACTTGTGCAAACATAGACACTTTAAATAAGAGTGCTCACAACAAAACTAGTTCTTAAGCCGAAGAACACGAATAAGTTGAGTAATGTTAGATGAGATACACATGGATTTGTCATCGTCAAATGGGAAAAAATTATTAAGGTGAGCATATTCTATCATGGATATGTTTTAATGATTGACAAACTTTAATCAACTATATTGAAAGAACCAGGTTTTATGGACAATGTACTATGCTATAATGGTGTGTATATATGATATGCAGGTGCGAGGAGAACCAGGTTCTTGTAGAATAACATTTAATATTGATCAGACGTGAGAAGATATAATACGCGTGCAAGTTGTATTTGGAAAAAAAAATAGTTGCGTCTATAAGAAAATATCTTAGCTGGAGGAATTCATGTGTTAAAAGGGTTTTAACAAATAAGGAATAACTTGCACGGTAGAAAAAGGTTGAGGAGGTAAAAATAAAGAAACTAAATCAAATTAGCAGAGGATTTCGCTAACTGAAATATTCTAAATTTTGGAGCATTAATTAGAGAAGAATTTCGGTCACCCTTATACCGATATAAAGAGACCTATTGCAGACGTATACAACCAATATTATTCATACAAGTTAAGTATTTACTCTTGGCAGTAGCAATCAATGCAAGAAGGTGCTCTCAAAGGATTTAAACTGCTCAACTAAAGAACCTATTCCAGAAAATGAAGCTACCTAGTTTTTTAGTTGTTTGGTTGAGTATATTTGTGATGAACATGCCTTTTACCAATAATACTATTGGGCTGGTATTTGGGTTAGTTGTTAAAATAAAGAAATACCAATATGTGATGTGGGATCCGAGTTGAGAAAATCTATTAAAATATTAGAGTGCTGAAGGAAATATAAATAACATGAGTATGTAGTTGTTAGGCTAAGCAAGAACATGGTCTTTCTTTTTCATTTGCTATTTGTAATAGCAGTCTGGAACCTCTATTTTCTTATTTTTCATTTTTTTTTGTTCATGAGTCAATTGTAATTCCTCAGTTTGGTTGACTATCAGATTATCTTTTCATTTGATAAATATGGATCCATTATAATATTGATATTGAATTGTAACCTATCTGCTTTTGAAAAGTGTAATCATAAGTTAACTACAAATTATTGTAAGTTTTATTTCATTTCTAGACTAGAGTTAATTTAGAAATGGGTCGCTATGATTGAGTTAATTTTAGGGTTAGGGTGCTAGAGTTAGTCTCATTGGTTATTGAGTTATAACCTAAGACCGCTCTTTGAAGTTAGTGAAGATTAAAGGCAAACCCTACGGGAGTAGGTCATAGTTTTTACTCACTTAAGTAATGTATTTTTCATGTAAAAATCGTTGTGTTCTTTGCGTTCAATATTTTGCTAGCTGTTTGTATCTGTTTTGGTATATCAAATAACTTGGTTTTTAATTTGTAAGAATGGATGAGACACAGTTCACTTCTCTTTTGTGTTATGATGTAACCCTAAAATAACATGATTCATCAAACTTCTAATGATGATTCTAAACCAGCTACTTGCTTCACAACATTATTGCGTCCATTTACTTTTGAACTTAATATTATACTAAAAACATATTCGCTTTAGTAGTAAATCATAACATAATTGCAATTCCTTTAAGAAAATATTAGTCATGTATTATTGTGAAGTTTCATTGCATTAATATAACTGAATTGAAGTTAATTTGATAAAATTTTCATATCAATTCCGCTCAATTGAACTAATTTCCTCCAAATATTAATAACTCATCATTTAAGACAAAGAGAGATTCTCTAAAATTAGAAATTCAATAATAACATTTATACTCATTTATACTTAAACAATCTACTCATTATAAATTAGACAAAATCCCTTGTTCATACAAAACCTTATCTAATAATCTATTTTAATTAATTTGTATTGCGATTACATCCTTAACTAGATTTGCATGCACGTCGAGATAATCTATACTCCTTGTATACAATCGCTCGTTTCAACACATTTAATCATCACTATGTTATACATATATATCATCTCAAATGTACAACCCACACACTCAAGTTAATATCTTCACTAGAACAAATACATATATAAAGTCTCTCC